TTTTCACCCTCGAGCTGTACTGGAGTATAGGAAACTCAGTTAAAACAGACTTTAAAACAAAAACATTTGTAGAAAACTTGTGTAATTTTGCTATTGTAATCAAATCCCATGTAATGGTTAAAATCAAAACTAAAMTTGTTGCACCAAATCTGCATTTACCACCAACCTTCAGTGTTTCCTAATTATTACTATTTTACTTGTTTTATTCCATCTGTCCCAATCAGAYTGAATAGAAAAACATTGTTAAAACAATAGGTAACATATTAACTTCTGTCTCCAAATGTGGACAAATCTGTCACTTTAATAAGAACTCAGAAAGAAACTCATATTTACATTGTCAGATATATAAGAAACACAAGAGTATTTTAAAGATGTAACAATTTATTTTTAATATACATCTATAAAAGCAGCACAGTGGCTCAGCTGGTAGAGCTGTTGCCTCTTCGCAAGAAGGATGTCAAATCCCGGCCGGGGATCTTTCTGGGTAGAGTTTCCATGTTCTCTCCGTGCATGCGTGGGTTTTCTCAGAGCACTCCTGTTTCCTCCCACAGAACAAAARCATGACTGTTAGGTTAATTGGTAACTCTAAATAGTCCTTAGGCATCTTAGGCATAAGAGAGTGAATCGTTGTTTGTCTCTATGTGGTCCTGTGATGGACTTGTGACCTGTCCAGGGTGTACCCTGCCCCTCTCACAGTGACWGCTGGACATGGACACCATTGACCCCTGAGACCCTGAAAAGAAGTAGCGGGTTAAGATAATGCAATTTATTTACTTTTACGTTTTGAAATAGGTATTGCCAATGGAAAATACAAAAGACAATACTAGGAACAATTCATTTAATATGAAATACTATTTATTATTTATTATTTTGACCAAAAACTATACAATGCCACACTGGAGTCTTGATTCAGTGTGCCATTCGCTTATGTATTTCAGGTGGGGGGACACCTGGACAGGTCTTCAGTSCATCACATGTTCATGTAGAGACAAACGWGACAAACAACCAGTCACCCTCTCACTCACTCACACCTTTGCGTCACCTTCGAGTTACCAAACAACCTAACATGTAGGTTTTTTTGATCTGTGAGAAGAAACTGGAATCCCTGGAGAAAACCCACTTGTGCCCTACTTTAGATTCTTTCTTGTAYCTCACAGACTGAAGATGACATGACCTTATGCTCATTCAGTGGATCACCAGAGAGCTGAACTACAAAGTGAAGGAAACAGACCTATGGCAGGCAATTTTAACAAAATACTGGCTTTGTCTGACCGACTGTAATTACATTCTAAATGTCTAAAAATAAGTTTCGACAAGGAACAACTACAGTTTGACTAGCCTGAATGGTAATTTAAGATATATTAAGGAGTTTTGACTAGTCAAAATGTAATTCAAGATATCTGAAATGACGTCACTGGATTCATCATTTGAAGGGTCACACATATGTAATTACAATTCAAGGTATCTCAAATGTAATTATGACAATAAAAAATTGCATTTTTAGACAACTGAATGTTGAGCTGCAGCTAAAAATCATGTTAAAATAATTTGAGCTAGACTGACCTGACACTGCAGACCACTGCATAGCCAATTAAGTTAAGGTTAGTGGCTCAGTTAGGCTAAAATGCCTTAGGAAGTTTCTAACAACATGCTAGTAAATCTGTCACAGTTTGACTAGACGGAATGATTCCATCAGAATTTTAATTCAAAATATATTAAAAAGAAAAGCTGTCTAGAATTAAAAAAAATCAAGATATCTCTGATTCATTTGGAGATATCTTTGATTTAATTTTGACTAGTAAAAAATGCAGTTCTAGATATTGCTTAGTTTTGTCGAGTCATTATTTGCTTTGAARATATCTCCAATTTAATTTGCAATAGTCAAAATTTACATAACAGACCTGCAAATAAATTTGCATCTTGAATAATGTCATTTATCTTAAATTGGAATTATGACTAGTCAGAACAGAAATCGAGACATCTTCAAAGCAATTAATGACCAGTCAAAACTAACCTACTGATATCTAGAACTGTAATTGTGATGAGTTAAAATTCAKTTTAAGATACAWACAACTTAACTGTAAATCTGATGTAATTTATAGTAGTCAGACTGWAATTAGAGATATCTCAAATAGGTATTTTRCCTAGTCAAAATATGATATATTAGTTAACTAATATGTCTAGTCATAAATCAATTTCAGATAACTGGAATGTAAGTGYGATGAATCCGATTTTATGTTAMAATGGCCTTCTATACATGACCAGCCAAATTGAGCTGTAAAAGTTTAATTCACTCACAGGCCAACTTTTCCCACTTTTTATCTTAAAAACCTGCAGTTTGTTTTCAGTGAAAACCAAATGTGTTCATTTAATTAAACATCAGAATCATAAATTAACCTAAACAACTGGACTTTCAATGTGTTAATATAAATATTCCTATTCAAACTTTAATGACTGATCATTTCACTCAGCCAGTGTTTCCCAACATAACTTAAAATAACAACTGTGAATCTACCAGCTGACCACGTAATGCAAGTAAATGTAATTAGCTGCTTTCTACCCCTGCTTTTTTCCTGAGGATGCACATGTAGGCATTGTGTTGAATTTATTCTTAAACCAGCTCCCTCATCAGCCCTTAATATAAACCGAAGCTACCTTTAGTGTCTTTGGGAATTGAAGCAGTTCTCACAAATCATGATAACAGTCGTGTTAGGAGATCCATGTAAACAAATAGATTGTAATATCCTGGTGTGAGAGGAGGGAAGAGGTGTTGTTTCTGTGATCTTCATTRTGATTTTAATGAGGATGTCAAAGCTGTCAGGGCTTTAATAGCTAGCTGATTGCAAAAAGATTTACTTCTTTGCTCTGCACAGTGGATATATCAGGATACTTTCATTCCAACTTCTATCTRGTTCATAGTTTATTTATAAGAGCCTATTTAAAGTTAAATTTAAAACAAATAATTTGCAAACACAATTGATTTGCCATGTTTTATTTCCTGTTTCTGGTTTCTTTTCCCTTTCCATTTCTCAGCACCATAGTGCCATCTAGTGTTTGTTGCTGCATGTTACATCACCAGGTTTGGTTGTTGTGGGATTATTTATTCAGTCCAGTGAGAAGCAGATTGTTCACAGAAGCATATTTATTGTTATGAGGAAGTTCGCAATCTTTTCGTTTTTTTTTTTTCCCAAAAAAACTTTTATTTCCTCACCTCAAACATGTGTTGCATCTGAGTTATGCTTCTGCTGTTCCTGTTAAAATGTTTGGTTTCATCTGTTTTTTGTTCTAATTTACTTCTAAGATCTATTGAGGCTGTGTAAAAATGTGCAAAGTTCATTCACATTTCTGCATAAACGTGCCATTTAAAATGTCTTTTTATGTCATTCCTGCACATGAAAGTCATCCCCAACCGTAAATAATCGCAAGACGTAAACAGTTTGTCTATTTTCTGCGACTAAACCTAATTGATGTAACGATCAAATATTTGCATTGCAAAAATGTGAGCCATTCCCAATTAAATCCACACTGTTCACCCACCAGATCCTGAGAGAAAAAGAAGGGGGGAAAAAAAAGGTGGTGAATCTCTTATTTGCGAAGCTAAACTTAATGCATGAGGTGAAGTCAAACATTGCCAGTCAAAACTCTTGTATTGAGTGCAGCCTTGACCCTCTGGGCAGTATCAGAGCTGCTGAAGTGCTTTGGCATCAGTGTGACAGGATTAACACATCAAAAGCAGCGTCGGGGCCTACAGCAGCGTCACACCGTCAGTACAGCACCTTTCATGTTCTGCTCAGGTTCACCACAATTTCACGTAAGCCAACAGCAAGTCAGACGGGGAAAGATAATGGGGCCAACCTGCTGCTATCACGCTTTCCTTCAGCTTCAGTGGAATATGTCAAATGCTGTGTGTTTGATGAAAGATTGGAGTTCAACAGGCTTAAGTCGGGAAACGATATCTGACTTTGTCACATGGCCAGGATGCAAAGGAGTATTTTACGTCTGACATTCAGGCTGAAATTATTGCTGCGAGCCTGCGTGGTCTTACTTTTTATGATGCAAACATTCGATAGTGGACGGAGAAGAAAACATTTCAACTGGAGTAGTCTTAAGAGTTTAAAAGTCTTTGGGTTAAAATTTAAATCATTTAGATGTGATGTTATAATGAGTCACTGGTGGGGTAAATTTTGCAAATAAGATGCATTTTAAATAGCAGATTACAGCCCAAAATTCCAACTACTATGCTAAAAATATGTTGCAGTTAATTTCTTTGAGAGCTCAAAACAAAAAAGATTTTAAGAAGGCAGTTTTGGACTTTTCAGAATAAAAGCCTTCAAACGCACTCAGATCAATCATAATTACGAGCCAAATAATGTCATCAATCGAAAGTTTGCAGCAGTTAATTCAAACATTTTGTTCATTTTTTGTTTGTTTCAGTCATATCAATGAAACACAAAATGCATTTGCAAGTTTATATGCACATATAAAACAAAAAATAAGACTTTGGATATCAAATATGAAACTATACCTAAAATATAACCTAAAGAAGTGGCTTGTTTTACCATGTTCTATACAGATAAGCACTGCTTAATGAGAGAACAAGAAAATCCGTAATAATATTCATTTAACAAAAAATAAAACTTGTGTCACCCTTCCTATTTTTTACTTACATATTTTTAATCCATGCAATGCTTTATAATGTTTTAATTTATTATTTTAAAAATTGTTCTTTTTTCATGTAACATACATCCCTTTTTTAAATTTTGAACTTTACGTCTGTATTTATTTTTTWAATTTGTTTGTTTGTTTGTTTTTATTTTATTTTTTGAACATTTAATACTAATGTGTCAATTTCTTGTTTTAACTTCAAACATCATTTGAGCAAAATGAGAACTTACTGAACACAGACATTTTATTAGGTATATTAAATATTTTACCCACTACATGTGCTGTTAATCAACTCAGCCTCTCCTACCTTTATGTAACAACACCTTTCTTTTTAGGTTGTTGACATAAAAGAAAAACTTAAGCTGTCCAAGAAATTTTGGTCCAACCTGCCTGAGGCGATGTGTCTGGAGGACGGAGTGACGGCTGGAAATGCCAGCGAGGAGGAGTGCTGGAACGGACACACCAAGGGCAGGTGAGGGCACCGCCGGCCCCGGGCTTTAAACAGGGTAACACAAAAGGTTTACTTAAGTCCAAAGTCCGCACAGCGCACCTGATGCTAAGCAGTCTGATCCGAGTATTAAGAGCCGGGTTGTTTGCTTTCACTGGCTTAAACTCTATTGTGTCAGAGCTCGGCATATTTTCACTATGACTCRTTCAACTAAAGTCAGGATGTCTCTTTAAAGCTGAATATTGAGGTTTTCATACTTTGTGATGCTTGCATTGTTCTTTAGAAGATKTAATGTGTTAAATTAGTAGATGTGAGCAAATAATATTGTTGTAAACTCATTTTGGTGCTCTTGTTTTGTTTTTATCTTGAAGCTCCCTCACTGTTTGTACTATTTATTGTCAAAATTTAATTAAATGCATTTCAATATTTGTATTTAAATGTATTAAATTAAACACCTCACTAACTGCTTATTAGAAATTGATTTTGAATCTTTTTCTTCATTTTGTAGCCAGAGTCGAGGACACAAATTGACCTTTTTTTGAATTCAATGCGTTCGCAGGGTTACATTAAAGCTGCTGTGTCAAATGATTTGTGGAAACCCTTCACATGACCACTTGTGGCTTATTTGTTGAACATGAGTTACAGCAGCTGACAAGCTCTCCCCACAGAAATCTGTTCTCACATCTACAGCGGGTAAAATAAGGATTGAACAGGTCACCATTTTTCTCAGTAAATATATTACTAGAGGTGCTAATG